AGAACTGAAGAAGCTTCTCGGATGAGAGGTGAAACGTCTTCAAGTAACTTAAAGAAGTCCAGACGCTTTTCTTTGCAAGCTCTTTTGACTACGATGACCTGGATGACTGAGAACCTTCACAGACATCAAAAAATTTGGACATGGCCTTTAACTCTTATATAAGCCCTATCAGAAACTTCCCAACAATACAATACATCACAAAAGAATTATCTTGTGCTATTAAAATTGTGTAACTTAGTCTGAGTTGACGTAAACTTAATTAAAGGCTAAAAGTATTCACTAAGATAATACATAAGAGCAAAATATATTTTCTTTTAACTATATAAATGTATCTTTAAAAAGTTTGGACTGTTGATATTTTTATCAATTTTACTATCACTATAAAATATGATCAACTAGTTGTTGCTGTGTTATTATTATAAATATAGTTTATTTATAAAAAATCCTCAGCTGTGAACTGACTGGTACCTGGTCTTTGCTGCTGCTAACAGCACCTGGTTTCTTCTTCTTTTTCACTGGGCACGGTGAGGTCTCAGCAGAGGAGTGACCGTTGGATGACTGAGAAGGACTGGGCATCTTTCTTTTTGGTGCCACCCTTTCTGTTGAACCAGCTTCTGAAACTGCAGACAATAATCAGAGCAAACAGACATATTGATTCTAAAAGCAGGAAAAAGTATCAGAAATGACAACCATCTTTTCTTGAACTCACACAACTGAGTGGCGCCACTAAAATAGCTTCTTTCATCTTATTTGCAAGGGGTGAACTGTGAGTTAGCGCATCTAATTCATAGTAATAAACCAAACCAAAATCACTTTACACATAAAAAGTATAGAAACGCTGCAGGTGGAGAAAGAGAGCTTTGCCATCTGAATACCTTGCATACTTTATTTTTACCTTTGGACCGTGTTGAGATCTCCATTTCTTCTGTTGCAGCCTGTTCTTCTGTTTTTCCCTCTTCTTCTTCTTCCAAACTGAAAAGAGCATCGCCACAGGTATTCAAATGTGTAGTGCAGTCAAATGTAACGGACAGCTGAAAATGTGTCATATTGTTATTTTTCTAAATGTTTTGGGGGGGAAAAGACACCGCGTGGTGCATGAGGAGCGTTACTTTCTTAGTGTAATTATGATTGAACCAAATTGCAAGTAAGAAAAAGGACCAGAATTAATAAAGCTCACTGCTGAATACAAAATAACCTCTCTTATTAATGACTTCCAGTTGTGAGGTTCATTAGTAGGTATGCAAGTGGTCAGGTTTTCTTAACCTTATTATATAACTTTCTGGATCACCTCCTATCATGTGAAGAAAAGTTCTTTTAGAGAAAAAATGATAACAGGTTTCTGGTGAGAGTTGGGTCACATAGTCGGGAAGAAGCGTCTCAGTATTTCAAGAAAAGAGCTGAGCTAAAGTACCGCAGGTTTCAAAGACTTGATGTGAATGATATCCATCAGTAAGTCTATGTCATGTCAAGAAATAATTCCTTTGATTTTCAAAGGGTAAAAAAGGTAAGATTGACTTTAGAAGATAGAGTAAGCAAAACCTCAACAGTACAACACAACACTGCAAAACCTGAAAACAAATGCTCCACTGGTAATAGTCCTAACAATTTATGTGAATGTTTTGCAGCTAGAAGACTCAAAATGAGAGAGCAAACCAATATACCAGCAGCTCAGAACAAAGGCCACATCTTGATCTCAAGGAAAGTTAAAATTAACCAATACTGAGACAACATGAGTACAATGTGTGCTGCCATTCTCCATTTATTAGTATTAGACACTTTTCTCTACTGACCTAATAAACAGTAGATATGAAAACACAGGAAAGAAATGTCTGCATTTCCTGACATCCAACAAGTTAACAGCAGGTAAATAGTCTAAACAAAAAGTAATATTCATTAATCGAGCCAATACCAGCCAGCGTATCGTAGTGGAAAGCACAATCACATCCACAGTTCTGATGGAGAAAAAGAACATTCAAATGCAATCCAAAATGTGCTCTCAAACCAACAGGTTTTTTCTCATCTGAGTCACCTTGGTTTACAGGTGCTCTGTTTGTCGTTTCTTTTGTTATTACGGTTTTCTCTGACGCCACAGCAGATGCAGTGGCCTCTGTGCTCAGATGAACCAGGTTCTTTCCATATTTATTTCCCTTACACTTGAGAAAAACACCTTTTAAATGTATTGTTTTCATCCAGCTAGAATACTGCTTCCATTTCGGTTATCTTGTTCCCCAACCCCCACACCCTTCAACCTCCTCAATCCCTACAGTAAGATGAAATGACATCCAGAAATACAGCACGTCTATAGACAAAAATAAGAGTGCAGTGAAACTGCTTTACTGGCCTCCTCATCCAGCCTTTCTGGACAGCCTTAGACAGTTTACCCCTGCACCACCATGTCCTGTCCAGGCCAGGAAATACAACAACACACAAAGGGAAAGAGAGACAGGAGGAAACTCACTGCTGTCTATCCTGACAAAACCCCTTTATAAATCAGAGACCACAGCACGTTCAGTTCAGCACATTGTAACCCTGTAACCTTCTGACACATCCCCTTCCACACCCACCACTGCCATAACAATCATGCCTCAATGTAGGAAATGAACGGCATACCTTTTTTCCTTACTCACATACAGATTCTTCAGCCTATTCTTTAATCTTTATCTTTATCAATTGAGGACGTTGGGGGATGAGGGAAAAGATGGGTCCAGGTTTCCCAGAAGGCCTTCTCTCCCTGCTGCTCTCTCCTGCAATTGACAATCTTTAACCTCGGCTGCAAGCTGCCGATTGGCTCAAGCACCACACGGAGGTGCCTGATTGGGTGCTCAGCTCGGTGTGCCACACAGGCTCTCTTCTCCCCGCTCTCCTCAACCACAATGCTGCAATGCAGAGAGGACTGATCCTCGCTGTCACAAAAACACTCGTGAAAACCAAGTCCCTCACTGCCTTAAAACTCCATCCAGTCATACTCTGGCTCTGTTCCTTTTATCAGACATGTAAGATGCAGCCCTACGGGCTTGACAAGGAGGGGATCAGATTCCTTCTCTCTGTGCTCTCAGCCAGTATATGTGTATGGCGTCCATTTTGAAGACACTCTCTCTCTCTCTCTCTTTCTCCCTCACGCTCTCTCTCTCTCTTTGGCCAATGTGCACACTGCACACATAGCACGTACACACGGCACCAGTCAGATCTGCTGCACAGGACCACATGCAGCTTATGATGTGCCCCGGCATGCTGATATATAGCAAGGGCCCTAAAGGTGGACACAAAGATGAGGCTGAAAAATGTCACAGGCCTTTTAGACACTATGGACTGCATAGCCTCCTTCCTCCATCTACTGTCTGCCTGAAAATCTGAGCACACAGTGTGACGTAAGCTGACCGTTAAAGCAGAGGTATTCCTTTTTTTTAAGCCAAATATATTTATTTCCTTACGTCAAGTACCTCAAAGACATGACTACAAATAGCATACACAATTCAAACACAGTTCTCATAAAACATAAATGCAAACTACAAGATAAAACAGATACACGCACAAGCGTTTGACACTAGGAAACTGTTCTTGGATACTCCTGGTAAAAAAAGGAAAGCGTGATGAGCGAGGCACAGAAGTCACTAAGAATTACTAAGCAAATGACCAGTTTTCTGTGGGAAAACCATACCTTAAAACATGTTATATCTATTTAAACATGCGAGGAAGGACTCTGTAAAGGCACAAACCAAACTAAAAAGGTGTGAGTGTATCTGTACAGATCCTGAAAAAAGGCGTAGTGGAATTGGGGGTGGGGGTGGTGGGGGGGGGATTAAACACATTACCAGACACCATTCACAGCAAACTGAGTGTTGACTTTGTTGTTTCAGTCCTTACAAATCGTTCCTGAACCCTGGTCTAGCACATTTATAAACACCATATTATATCCAGGCCATAACTCCACTGGTTACATTTGACTTGCTCTGTCCATTATAATCATTATCAATAATATTACATAGTATAGAAATAATGTTGCTAAACCGACAGAAAAATGACACAATCATTGACTGAATTTAAAAATTTTTATCTGCTCCATGCACACAAAACACCAACACCATTATGCATAAACAGAATTCAATCTAACCTGGTCGACTTCAAAAAGGCTGCAAAAGCTTCTCTGGATGAGATGAGGTTTCTGTGCAGAGCCTTTTGAGAGGAAGTCCTTCCCTTCTTTCCTTCTGTCTTACATACAAATACTCAGTGTGCTTGGAGCAGAGGGACAGAAAGGGGAAGCTCTCTAAAATGGCTGACACTCAGCAGCAGAGAACAACACTGGGAGGCAGTGCACACCATTAAGCTCAGGCAGTTTTTCCAAGCTCGTGATAAATAAGCAGCTACAGCATATTTACTCAATAAATCATTTGTATTTTTATAATAATGATGATCAGCTCACAGGCTTTTTAACAGCATGTTTGTTTGTTTTTTTGGGGGGGGTTGCATTCCCCATTCTGGGGTGAACTGGGTTTCGGATGAAAATACAGTTTTATCATTTACAGTCTGTTCTTCCCTGCCGTGTTAGTCTGGCAAACAATTAACAACAGTACCCTGCTGCCTTGCTCTCAGTCTTGTTCGAGGTCTAAATTAAACTTGCTGTGCTGTCAGTTTACCATCTGTTAATTCCTCTGGGATCTCCTCTCTGAACTGCTCTCCCATCCTGCCTGGTTTCTCTCACTGGGCCTGTCAAAGGCCAGGGACAGTCACAGAACGTCACTTCTCTTTTGAACTTTACAAAAGGAAGCAGGTTTTCTTAGTCAGACCATACAATGACCTTGGATGTGACCTATGGCCCTCTACTATGCATATCCACAGAGCCAACCAGCTAGCAGAGGCTGTCTGTTATACTATACCATGCATTGCTCTCCTTCCAGGCTCCACTCCTGTGCTGTGAGTGACAAATATGCTTCCCCTCCCCCATTCTGTCAGACAAACCTATATTATTACTCAGGCACAGATCTGGTGCCTCATAGACAAAGTAGTATATGTGGAAAAAGATGAAAATAAGGCTTACCTCTGTGGATGCATGGCTAAATACTCTGTGTGATATGTCAATGCTTATTAAAACATGGAGGACAGCCCTGTCAGCCCTCACCCTGCTCAGAGCACAGCCACGGCTCTCCAAGCTGTCCGACTCAACTGTTCAGATAAAAGCTAAGCTAGGACTGGCTCCATGTGCTGTCAGCATATAAGGCAGCTGCTGATTGGCTGGTGTATTTCCTGGCTGCTTGTCTTTTGTTTAGCACAGGCAAGCTGAAACGCAGTACTCAGAGCTAGCAGGAATCTCTAGGCCCAGATCAAAATATCAGCCACTGACAACCCACACATAACAAGAAGCCTGCAGACAACTTGCTATAAAGGAGCTCTTCAGTACAGCTACGAACAGCAGTCACATGCATAATAAACAGGCCCGTGTGGTGTTAGAAAGGAATTTGTCTCACAAGTTCCCACCCTCAAAGTAAGCTGACATCATAGGAAAGATAAGGAAACTGCTATGTAAATAAAAAGCAGTGGGTAGGCAGACACTACATGAAATGCACTCTGTGTGTTTGACCTGTAAAGGTTCAGTCTGAACACCAAATTACAGTCATGTGTTTCAGTCATACCTGGGCCTTTGAACTGGTGTTGTTTGTTGTTAACAATGTGGTTGCAGTGGTTCAGTTTCTGTTATCACTTTCAAGCATGCAGGATAATTCAATAAGAGTATAAGAATCTGTATGTTACTTTATATTTCATTGTAAAGGGTTCACGCGTGTTTCTTTTTTACATTAAGCTTTATTTTCACTTCTAGCATTAAGTGAAACTTATAAAGCAAAAATTCAAAGTTGCCTAATTTTGACCAACCTTTAACTAAGATATAAGTATTTCAGGGTGTTTAAAGCATAAGCACTGTGCGTCTGTGCACACGGTCATGTGGAACAGAAAGTTTTCACAGGACTCTGCAATCCTGTGAAAAGCATAGTCCATAACGCAGAAGCAATAATCCTAAGTACTTGTTTTCTGTATAACCTTTTTTCAGTCTTTCCTGTCACTGAGGAGCGATTTTGAACCACTCTTTTTTATAATCCTGCATAAGTTCATTGAGGTTTGCGAGCATTTCTTTATGCACAGCTCTCTTAGGCCCTGGCACAGTGTTTCAGTCAGGCTGCTGTCTGGCTGAACCACAAGAACACCTCAATTCTTTTCTTTTTCAGGCATTCTGTTGTGGATTTTTGTGTTTAGGATCATTGTTCAGCTGCATGATGCAGTTTCATGAAAGCTTTCACTCTCAGACAGATGGCAAAGCAAGCTCAAATAATTACCCCTCCACGACCATGCTTGACAGTTGGTATTTGTGCTGATATCCTGTGTTTGGTTTTGGTCAAACATCTCCACTTTGATCTCATCTGTTCAAAGGACATTGTTCCACCATTTGACCTTAGAACTGAAGAAGCTTCTCGGATGAGAGGTGAAACGTCTTCAAGTAACTTAAAGAAGTCCAGACACTTTTCTTTGCAAGCTCCTTTGACTGTTCCAGAGGTCTTGTAATTTACTCTGATGCTACTTTGCAGAGCTAAGAGGCCCTGTAAATGTTCTTTTTGAGTGAAGAGGCTTTCTCCTGGCAACTCTTCCAAATAAGCCATACTTGTCGTTTTCTATTTTCTTTCTCTAATTGTAGTGTTATGAACATTTAACGTTATAAACATTTAACATGCTAACTGTAAAGCTACTCTACATGTCTGTAGTCCAAATTGTAGCTCCTGGCTTTTTTTGCAGTTTCTCTGAGCATTGTATGGGCTGACCTTGGGATGAGCTTGCTGGGAAGATTGGCAGCTGTCTTGAATGTTTTCCACTGTTGAATAATCTGTCTCACTGTAGAAGGACTGACTTCATGTTGTTCGGAAATGTAAATGAGGAGCAGCAATTACTTCTCTAAGATCACTGCTGATGTCTTTCTTCCTTAACACTGTGTTAACACACAGCTGAATGCCCCAGACCAGCAAACTGCCAGAACATCTACGTTCACAGAGATAGTCACACTTCATCAGTTAATCAAGTCCATTTGATTAGCAGTATCTGACGGCTACTTATCCTCTTAATTCCTATAGAAAGAGCAAGGGAGTACCTCTTCCTGTGAAAACTACGTGTTTGTCTCTTTGAAAATAAAAAAAATGCAGTGCAAAGGACCACAGAGGTATTATCTGAAATTTACACCCTTAACTTTCTCATTCATGAAAACACTTTACTCTTTATAACTGAGTCATTATAAATGTAACAAAGTAAATTGTGCTGTCAGTTTATTCCTCTGTGTGGTGGTGAATAAAAACTTGTGGCTAATATTCTTCAAACAAAGAGCCCACGGATCTGGCTTGTTTAGCAAAGATATATAGACTCATAGCTCAGTGCTCACTGCCAAATAAAATTGGCATTGGTGATGCAAAGCCATCTACAGAACAATAAACTGCAGATAATAAACTACCCACCGCTCCTGTTTTCTATTCTAAATTCCAGGCATACATCTTGGCATGGAGTAATATGCTAAAGAAAGGAAAGCTGATTATTGTTCCACTGTGAAGAAATGATTATTCAAAAAAGCCAGAGTGCAATTACTGTTCTATATTTCTGAAAATGTATAAGGTTTGTCTTCTGAGCACCACCTGGCTCCTTTCCTCAGACGTTTGTGGCCTCTCTTCTACAGGAAGTAAGACAACACTGACCTCTAGTGGTAAAACGCTATCACAGCATGCCACTCAGTAGCCCATAAATTCACTGGACGTCAAAAATTAACAAATTCATCTGAATTAATCTTCTAGTCCAAATGATAGCTTTTGTCTGTTGATTCAGACACATATGCTGCCAAATGAAGGAAATGAATGTTAGATGGTGCACGGTGTATAATAATGGCAATGATATTGTAGTTGTTATTTATTCCCTTCGCGAGATGAACTCGGAAAATAACGATGTAAAATTACTGAAAAAAGTTAAACATTGCCAGAAGAGCGTGCTAAAGGCTCTGGGGGTCAAAAAAAAGAAAAACAAGGGGAAAAAACTGCCCAAATTCTTCTCTTCGTCTGTATCTCAAATCACTAAATACCTCTTAAACCAGAAACTGCTAGCTAGAAAAGTACCAGGTGTATGTAATCTATGATACATGATTAAATAGGAAGTTGACATAGAAACCTGTAAAATAAACTATGACTACACATATAACTGTGTAGAATCAGACTTTAGAGGTCCTTCTGCGAAACTGTCTCAACATTTAATAAAGGTTTTAGGTATGATAATGAGAAAATTAAAAATTAAGACTCCTTTCATGTATGTAGCCTGTTGGTTGCTACCTACCAAAAGTTTCTAATTCATGTTAATAAAAAACTGTGTGTGATATATGAAGCAAAATAAATATCATGTTTCCTAATATCAAATGATAAGGGAACTGTTCCCACGACACCTCTCTAGCCAAAAAAAAAAACAGCTCAATAATTAGCTTGATAGTTAGCTATAGTTGTTACCGCCTAACTCATTTCCAACCAATATATGGTCGGAAAAGAAGTCGTAAAAGTCTGACATATAAACTTTAATATACTTGTGCCATACTTGTCTATTCAAGCCGTACGGTTAGGTGTTCACACTGCAGACTCTGCCCTGTGACCTTCGTATTTCTGAGTGGAGCTGGAGAGCTAGTAACTAGCCTGGCAGGCCCCAAGATGGCGCCCTAGTTAGATTTTTCCGGTGCTCCCCAGCTCCTGATTTAGATTTATTTTCCTCTCTCCAAGCACATCAGTTCTGCGGGTAAAATAAATCTCCCTGTCACTGCGCATGTTTTGTTTTGTTTTACCAGGTTATTTTCTTGTTTTTCAGGAAGACATTTACGTGAATTGCCCTTCTAATAATTTTGTTTCTGTTTACCCACAGAAGTGATTAGCCTACCTCAGAAAAATTCCTGACAATGCCCGGGTGACTTAAATATATTTAATTTTATTAATATCTTATTTATGTGTCTAAATGTAGATGTTTTCACGTTTAACTGATAATTTGATTTGTCTAATTGCTGAAATGCAGCAAAAGTAAAGTCTCTTTTCCCCCTGCATCTTTGCACTAAAAATCACACTACAGCTTTAATAAACGGTATAACTTAAAATCGTTCTTTCACGCACAGAAACGTGGAATGTGCAGTGATCGTGTTTTTGTCCTTTGTGGTCATACGCAGTGTTGAGAATGGGGGGATGGGAATGGGTGCGGGGCAAAAAAAGGCATGTGGTTAGCTGTTTGCAGGTAAACCGGTCTGAATACATTAATGATTGTGGGGCTATCTCCTGTCCTTTCAAACTGCTATCTCCTGTCCTTTCAAAGTGGTAAGGGGAGGGGGAGGGGATAAAGTGTCTTGTACTGGGGGCAGCGGTCAGTTTTCCATGTTTAGTGGGGGAAGGGGTGCAGACAGAGGGCCACTGGGCCCCTCTTTGGCTCTTCATGGAATGCAACTGAGGTTCTCTATAGACCAACAAACAAACCAAAAGAAATGAACAACAAAAAGGCACTTTTTTTTCTCTCCATGAAAAGCACTCATGGGTGTGGTTCAATCCATAAGTCTTTATATGCTCATGTTAGAATGATACTTTATTCATCCCAGGGGGGACATTAAAATGTTGCAGACACTAGACACACTAAAATATAAATATGTAACAAATAAAATGTAAACTCTCTATATTATAGTATATAGTATATATAAAATATACTGTACATGTGTACAAGATATTACTTGTGAAAAAAGTCCTGGAGACATGAGCAGGAGTTGTAAAGTCTGACAGACAGGAATGACTTCCTGTGGCACTCTGTGGTGCATCATGGGTCAAAATGGCCTCATGATCACGTATGACACCCCTCAGGCAATACTTACGTCTTCACAGCAAATAGATAAATCAGAGTGCAGGGGTGGCTGCAAGTGCTGCAGCTGTATGTGTCATCTAAGCAATTAGCTGTAAAGATAATATGTGACCAGCCTTTCA